TGTGTCCTTCCCCACCCATGTCTGCCCCACCCGGTGCTGCGTGCGGGCCCTGGACCCCGGCCACCAGAGGGAGGCTTGGGGACGCAGGTCCTGCAGGTCTACCCCTCACCCAGCCAACGGCCCCTTCCCGTCCCGTGGTCAGTGTCAGTGCTTATTCCTGCTGAGCCGCAGGCACCGCAGTTCCCTGGGCGGAGCCCCCTCCGAAAAAAAGAAACCTGAAGCCCGGCCGGCCTGGCTCGGGGTGGGGGTCGACCTAGGAACCAGGAGGTCACGGGCCGATTCCCGGTCAGGGCACATGACAGGGTTGCGGGCTCCATCCCCAGCGTGGGGCGTGCAGGAGGCAGCCGATCCAGGTCCTCTCTCATCGTTGGTGCCTCTGTCTCTCTCCCTCTCCCACCCTCCTGAGCGGCTGATTGGAAACCCTGGTGCCTTCATCGGACGGGAATGGGGTTATCGGGGAGGGAGCTGTAAGCTCGTGCAGGTGGGGGCGTCGGACTTTAGCAGCGACGTCATCCAGTGGCCGATCTCAGGCCCGCCTGTCAGCCGCGCAGCAGGGGCGAGACCCGGTTCTGTCCCTACAAGTGCCTGTGCCACAGCCGTCGGGAGCTCCCCCCGGTGCGACCACGCCCGCCCGGCCCCGTGGGTTCTCCTGGCGCTGTGGGAACGGGGGGTCTGCAGGTTGCCGCCCGTGTTCAGAGGGCTGGATGCGCGGGACCCCATCACCTTCTTCGTGGCTGTGCACCGCGGGACGGTCACTAGCTTCATCGAGGTGGCTCCTCGAGGCCCCCCTTCAGGCAGGAAGTGAACGTGGGAGCTTTGGTGCAGCTGGCGCCGAGGTCCTCACAGCAAGTTCCTCATGAAGGCGTCAGCTCCCTTACCCGGTATCCGTGCGCAGGCGTGTGTGTGTGTGTGTGTGTGTGTGTGTGTGTGTGAGAGACTCAGCACAGGGACACAGCAGGAGAGGGGACTGTGGCCTCTCCCGCACTCAGCCTCCTCCTGGGCAGCTGGTCTCAGACCACAGCGAGGCTGACCCGCGACACGCTGGGTCCAGTCCGAGTGGCCGGGGGCCTCTGCGTCTGCGCTGCTGCAGGAGCCTCGCCTCCCCGTTTCCCAGTGCGTCTCGCAGGCGTCACCACGGAGCACTTAGGTGACAGCGAGGCCACGGACGCCCCCAGGAGACACTGGGCGGCGTTTCTTAAACCCCCTCCAGGAACTCGGTGCCATGTGATGTCTAAAGCAGCGCAGTGCTCTCGCCTGTATCCTCAGCTTCTTCTGCTTCTTTTTAAATTATTATATAATTTTCCTTTTTAGACGTAAAGCGTTCCTTCTACAGCCACTGGAAATGCATTTGCTTGTTTCCTCTGATAGTTTTCCTGAGAAACATAAGCTTCTCGGAGGGAAATCCCTCCCCGGCCCACGGAGGCCGGGAGAAGAGCTGGACGAGGAGAGAGGAGGGCCAGTGAGCGGCTTCCTGAAGGAAACCCGCCCCCCTCCCGGGACCAGACGAGGCCGAGGGGCCGCTTCGTTGAGCCGGGGAGGTGTGCTGGCCGGTGTCTGGGGAAGCTCGCTGGGCGGCTCGCTGCTTCCGGTGCCACCCGCAGCTGCTGGCTCTGGTCTCCGGAGGAGCGTGGCTGGGTGTGGGGTCGATGCTTATGCACATGTGCTTGTCGGCCTCTTCCGGGCAAAGGGCAGTGAGGGATGGGGAACAGTTGTCACGGGCACCTGGCATTGGCTGCAACTCCCAGGCCAGCCCGAGAGGTGCTGGGCCGCGTGTGCGTGTGCACCTGGCCCTGGGGGACCTGGAGCAGACCGGGCCAGCGTGTGCTCCTCGTGCCCTAGCGCAGTGGTCGGCAAACTGTGGCTCGCAAGCCACATGCGGCTCTTTGGCCCCTTGAGTGTGGCTCTCCCACAAAATACCGACTTCTGCGCATGGGCCACGAAGTTTCAATCGCACTGTACATGCGTGCCCGCACGTGGTATTTTGTGGAAGAGCCACACTCAAGGGGCCAAAGAGCCGCATGTGGCTCGAGATCCGCTGTTTGCCGACCACTGCCCTAGAGTGTCAGGTGTTGCTCAGGGGCGGACATAACCGCCCCACCAGGGGTAGAGGGGTGTCTCGCCTCTGCTGGGGCCTGCTCTCCTGGCCTGGGGCCTGGGGCCTGTGAGGCCCGTGAGGGCTGGGTGGCAGGCTGCGTATGGGGTGCTGGCCTCTGTGGGAGGATCTGCCGTGGCAGGGTGGGGCCAGGACTGTCTGCTTGGGGTCAGTCCTTACTCGGACACCCATCCCATCGAGGGCCCCACCTCACCACCTCCTCTCACCTCATCCCCCAGAGCCCTGCGTCCTCACAGCAGGTGGATGGGGAGGACACGTGTCCGCCCCCAGCGCGGAGATTGGGGTGCCACCCTGAGCCGCTCATGTTCCCGATCTGCCCGCCCACAAGGGCCGGGCCGCGGCCTGTGGCGCAGGCAGGAGGCGGGCTGGGTTCGGGGTCCTCTGTGCTCACGCGTGTCCTCCCCCTCAGCGTCGTGTGGGAGCCCACGGGCGACGGGACGCGAGTCGTCTCCCTGGCGGACAACCACCTTCTGCTGTGGGACCTGCAGGCGAGCTCCAGCCGGGCCCTGGTAGGTAACAAACGCCGTTTCCCGCTTTTAATTTCTTAACGTGATTTTTTAAAGTTTATTGATTTTTAGAGAGAGAGAGATTTGACTAAACTTAGATATACTTCTCGATTCATGTCTTTAGGATTTTACATTAATGATGAAGTGGTTAGTGAACGAATTGAGTTATTGATCAGAGTATTGAGCGATTGCCTCTGTCAGGTGAAAACAGCTCGGTGTTGGGCGTCGGGCCGAGCACAGATGGACATGGACCCCGAGAATGGACAAACTGCCCCTTCGTCACATCTGTGCGCGCGAGGCACGGAGATGCCCACCCGCGTCCCCTCTGTTTCGGGAGCCTGTCCCTAGGGCTGGGCTAGGTCACCTCTCAGGTGCTGACGACATGGTGCAGGCAGCCCTTCCCAAGTCCCCCGAGTGTGGAAATGACGCTGGACGAGACCTGGACCCTTCAGCTCACCTCCTCTAGCTCCGTCATGCACAGAGCTCAGGGCTGGGTCATCAGACACGTGGGCTGTTCCCGTGCACGTGGGTGTGGGGCCCCCAGGCCTCACCGTGTCTCAGGAGGTGTTTCAGGACCTGCAGACTCGAGAAGGGAGGTCCAGGACCTGTAGACTGAGGGATGGGAGGTCCGGGGCCTGTAGACTGGGGGATGGGAGGTCCAGGACCTGTAGACTGGGGGAGGGGAGGTCCGGGGCCCGTAGACGGGGGGATGGGAGGTCCAGGACCTGTAGACTGGGGGAGGGGAGGTCCGGGGCCCGTAGACGGGGGGATGGGAGGTCCAGGACCTGTAGACTGGGGGAGGGGAGGTCCGGGGCCCGTAGACGGGGGGATGGGAGGTCCAGGACCTGTAGACTGGGGGAGGGGAGGTCCGGGGCCCGTAGACGGGGGGATGGGAGGTCCAGGACCTGTAGACTGGGGGAGGGGAGGTCCGGGGCCCGTAGACGGGGGGATGGGAGGTCCAGGACCTGTAGACTGGGGGAGGGGAGGTCCGGGGCCCGTAGACGGGGGGATGGGAGGTCCAGGACCTGTAGACTGGGGGAGGGGAGGTCCGGGGCCCGTAGACGGGGGGATGGGAGGTCCAGGACCTGTAGACTGGGGGAGGGGAGGTCCGGGGCCCGTAGACGGGGGGATGGGAGGTCCAGGACCTGTAGACTGGGGGAGGGGAGGTCCGGGGCCCGTAGACGGGGGGATGGGAGGTCCAGGACCTGTAGACTGGGGGAGGGGAGGTCCGGGGCCCGTAGACGGGGGGATGGGAGGTCCAGGACCTGTAGACTGGGGGAGGGGAGGTCCGGGGCCCGTAGACGGGGGGATGGGAGGTCCAGGACCTGTAGACTGGGGGAGGGGAGGTCCGGGGCCCGTAGACGGGGGGATGGGAGGTCCAGGACCTGTAGACTGGGGGAGGGGAGGTCCGGGGCCCGTAGACGGGGGGATGGGAGGTCCAGGACCTGTAGACTGGGGGAGGGGAGGTCCGGGGCCCGTAGACGGGGGGATGGGAGGTCCAGGACCTGTAGACTGGGGGAGGGGAGGTCCGGGGCCCGTAGACGGGGGGATGGGAGGTCCAGGACCTGTAGACTGGGGGAGGGGAGGTCCGGGGCCCGTAGACGGGGGGATGGGAGGTCCAGGACCTGTAGACTGGGGGAGGGGAGGTCCGGGGCCCGTAGACGGGGGGATGGGAGGTCCGGGGCCTGTAGACTGGGGAATGGGAGGTCCGGGGCCTGTAGACCGGGGGACGGGCGGGGAGGGTCTCCCTGGTGGAAGGCGTGGGGCGGTGGGTGCCGAGCTCGCTGCTGGTCTGGCAGGTGTGGGTGCAGCCCCTGAGAGGAGCCCCCCCCGCAGGAGGAACCCAGAGGCCAGTGGTGGAGTCACACGCTTTAGGGCTCAGGCCCCCAGTCTTGCCTCGGCCTGTGGCCCCACTGCACACAGCTCCAGGCCCCATCCTCGCAGAGCGCTCTGCGGTGGGCGATTAACCTGTAACTTATTTTCTGCAGAGACCAATTTAGTCCTCTCGGCCCCTCTTTTGTCAGCGTCAGCACTCTGTCAGCCTCACTTTGTGACCCTGGGCCGTGGCATTTAATACTGAGCCCCCGATCGATCCGCGTCTTCACACCCAGCTCCTCCATTTTTTTTATTGTTGGAGGATCTTGCCCTGCGTGGAGAGTCTCATCTCAGGCTGGCTGCATCATTACCCTTTGCAATTAAACGGGAGGTTCCCTGCCATTTATAATCATTAGCGAGAGCCCAGGGGAGGCCTGGGGGCGGGTCCGCGGGGTCCCGGCCCCGGCGAAGGCAGAGGGGGTGCCCCCCCATTGTGATCTGTGCTCATTCATCTCTGGGCTCCAGCAGCCTTCACTGGCTCTGGAGATAAATAGCTCCTTTCAGGGTGCAGCGAGCGGCAGAGCCGAAGGCACAAGGTGCCGCGAGCCTCAGCGCCCTCCCGGCCGCACACCCACCTGGAGCTCCCGCAGAGGAACCCAGCCGGTCGCCTGCTCAGTGCTAGGCCTGAG